AATGAATAGAGGGATTTGTTCTAATAGTGTTTGTAAATAGGATATCAAGTCTGCATCTTGTACAGCAATTAACCACTAGGAAGAATGTATGCAATGTGTTAATTATTGAAACTGTCCTACCAATTTGGTTTGAAACTGTCTCATTGCTATTTGTTGCTCAATAAAATAATGGAAAAAAATTGAATGGTGTAGTATCTGCATATAACCTATGCATATTCTCATTTATACTTTAAATCATTTTTAGATTATTTAAAGTAATATAAGTGCAATATAAATAGTTGTTATATTGTATTGCTTAGGAGAAAATAAAAAAAAGAAAATTACTTATTCAGTATAGATACAATTTTTCTCTGAAAAAGACTGAATCAGATGTGGAAGCTGAAGCTATGAAATCTCTTTAAAAAATAATGTGTGGTGATGCATGTCTGTGATCCCAGCTACTTGGGAGGCTGAAGCATGAGGATCACTGAACCCAGAAGTTCAAAGACCAGCCTGAGCAAGACAGCAAGACCCTGTCTTTAAATAAAAAAAAAAGTCTTGTTGCATAATCCAAAATGTCTGGGGAGTTGCTACTCGCATCTGGCACGCAGATGCCTGGGATGCTGCTAAATATCTTCCATGGCAAAAGTCAGCTGCCTACACCACAAAATTATCCAGCCTACTATTTTAGTAGTGCAACTGGTAGCCCTAGCATAATCCAACCTATACGACAAGGGTGGAGCATCTCTGGTTAAAACAAGTCCAGAAGGCTACAGAACAGAGTGACTAGAGTTGCACAGCGTTCTCCACACCCATGGTGGCAGTCCCACTGTCTCAGATCACACAAAAATTATGGGTGGAGCCCAGGTACCTACCCATCTCTCTTTGGAGTGCTCTGGACTTGATGGATAGGCGCCTTCTATGTTATCCTGGTATCTCCCACACTATTCTGACTTTCAGTAAGATTGCACACATACCAACATTATTAATTTCATGGCATCACATTTCCTAATTCCATCTTCTACCCTGTAATCAGCCAAAACTCTGCCTTTAAAAGCTATCATTTTTAGAAAGAACAGTAATTACCTCTGGGCAAAGACAGCACAGAATTGACCAGTGAGGGACACAAAAGAGCATTTTAGGGGCTGGAAATGTTCTAGATGTTGAGCTTGGTAGGGAGTGAGTACATATAATAAAAATTCACTGACTTAGGGCTTAAAATCAACATACTTTTAAGTATGCTATACGCAAATTTTAGAGAATGTCATGAAGAAAACTGCATCTATGACAGAATTTTATGGTTTGTAGAGCACCTTACACACACACACACACACACACACACACACACACACACACACACAAAAGCCCCCTTTATCTCCTGTGCTATTTCTGCTATTTGCCTTCACCACCTATCAACTCTAGAGAACTAAGGAAAAAGCACCTGTGGTAAGCCACAGATACCTGTGCAACACCTTGACTTAGAAAGGACTTGTTAGAAAAAGAAAATCTACGTATGAGGAATATCTTGGTGGAGTCGCACCCAGGACTAGAAGGATGTGTGGAAGATGGGACACAATAAACTCTGATCTGAATGGTAGGGTCAACTGCGTGAAGACCATAAATCTCTCCCTGGGGTTGTGAAGCCACAAGAATGGCCTCCTTTTCCTTGGCGTCTGGGGCTCTGAACACATAAGCTCAGCAGATCTCAACGTCTCTGTTACAGCTGTTGACAACTGCCTTAAGAGAGACCAATCCACAACTAATTACAAAAAAAATGATATTGCTGCCAGAGTCACGCACTGAATGCATTTAAAAATGAAAAAAGCACAGTCCTCGAAACACTGAGGTTGGTACTTTGTCTTCTGAAGAAGTCCTGCAAATTGTTCTGTTCCAACTGCATCTGAATAGCGGGGCAGGATTCACTTCAAGAAAGCTGCACTTCCAACCGCTGGAAATCTTTCCATAAAGAAGAACAACTGGGGCTGGTGAGATGGCTCAGTGGTCTAAAGCACCTACTTAGAACGAGCTTAGCAAAGCACAGGGACTGTGGTTCAATCCCCCAGCATCACATGCCAGCCAGCCCCGCCCCCTGGTGGGCTGAGCTGGACACACACACACACACACACACACACACACACACACGTAAATAAATAAAATTAAAAAAAAAAGAACAACTGAGATTTTTGATTCCTTTCTTACCGGCCTCGCTGAAGTAATTCCCAGTGAGCGGGTCCAGTGGTCAGATTGAAAGCTCCAGGATACACCAAGAGCTGGCATCCTGAGGGAGTGAAAAGCCAAAAGCAGGGTACAGATGAACATTCAGTGACAACAGTCCTTCCCTTCAGTCCTTACCGGCAAGGACAAAACTAAAGCTTTATCAAGCACAAAACAGTATCAGTCTTGGGCCGGGGAGATGGCTCAGTGGAATATAGCACTTCCCTGGCAAGCGCACGGGACTGAGTTCAATCCCCGGCTCCGCAAAAAAAAAAACCAGTATCAGTCTCATGAGAGGTACCAGCATTAAGATACAGCTCTAAATTTTTTAAGACACACACATAAAACATAGATGAAGAAAAGTAGGACCAATGTCTGAAATCAAAATATGTACTTTTACTTAAAAAAAGTGGAGAACTCTCATTCAAATTTTTCTCAGCACAATAAAGGTTACACAGCCGAGAATCATGCTTTGTGACTCTGTTCAACTAAAAGTAACAGCACTATTTTTTTTTTCGGGGGTAGGGTAGGGTATGCAGAAATCAAACTCTGGACCTTGCACATGCCAGGCAGGCACTTGTGCCACTAAGCTACATCCCAGGCCCATCTTTTTAACTAAAAGTAAAGGCAGAGCAGTTGCTGTAGTGTTTACTGATAAGGCTCTACAGAGATTGTTAAGACCACAGCTCAGAAACTCCCCCTTCTGCTGAGCAGAGCAGGCAGTCAAGTGATGGGACAGTCAAGATGGAGTAGCTTCCACAGTCCACAAAGATGCTAATATTTGCTGAGCGTCACCAGAGAAGCTCTGCAAGCTCTCTTTCATTAATCCTTACACCATGTCTCTAAGGAAGCTAAAACCTATACTGCTATAAAGCGAAATGATTTTCCCAAAGTATTATGCCAATGAGGAGGAAGAGTTAAACCAGAAATGAGAGCTGACGCGCCTCAGTTTGCTTTCCAGTCACTAACACGCTTCCCCTTTTTCTGAATAAAGTACCACAGAGTGCTATCTGAGCTGAAATCCACAAGAGGTCATATCTTTATTCATACTAGGCTGCAAGTGACCTCAAACACGGTTAATAGGAGCAGCTCAAAAGGCAGACTGGACATGTGAAAGTATGGCTTCTGCCTTAGCAATGTAGCATGTGTTAGAAGCCTCCCAAAACCTTATCATCCACATGCAGCATAAGTCTAAAAAGCCAGACGTGTTTGTGGGGAGCTGCACCTGGAGACTTCAACTTGTTTGTGCATTTGTGTAAAATTTGGGCATAGAGTTCTTTCTCTCCCCACAGAAATGAGCCCAGAACCAAGCCTCCAAGCAACAACGTAACAGAACTGCAGCACCGCCTCACCTCTCTGTGCATAGATTTGTGCAAGCTCTGCAAAACGCATGTCATAGCAGATGCCCAGGCCCACTCTGCAGTAAGCTGTTTCCAAACAGAAAAACAGATGAAAAGTGAAATTCCAGTAGCACTGTGTGGTAGCATAAATCTTCTATGACATCATGAGCACAAAGCACTGACAGGTATAAATTAACACAGAACCCCTGAGTGGAGACAATTTATAAATCCAATCCTATTGGGACTTATCTGACATACACATCATTTACATCATCAGACCAAGGATGAGAAATTCATTTCAACTGAATTCTCCTTATCTAGGTACAAGGTTTAGTTGTGATCAAACAGGGGAACTCTAGAAGCTACCATAAAAGGCTCTGACCAAGTGGAACAGTAAAATCATTCAAATTCTCCATTTGGACCTAACTTTTCACTTTTCTGACTGTTCTTGTCCTTCCTCATTTCCGGTCTTTCAAACAGGTTATATGAAAAAGATGGTGAGAGACATAAAAGAAAGGAGTAACTAGTTCTCCTCCCTGGGATTACTAAAAAAGAGCCAACTTATCTGATACATACAGGTATCAAATGTGGAGAAACTATCACCAGGACTCAATGTTTTGGATTCTTGAAATGTAATTTTCCCAGGAACATCAATGTCAAACAGATGGATCTGCATCACAAATAAATTTATCAGGTTACTATCTTTTTTTCAGGTAGTAATGGCAGCTCATGACAAGTAATTGCCGACTTCCCAGGGGCAGATATAGAAATGCCCTACAATCAACTGTACATGCCCAACCTGTCCATCTTCCACCTACAAGCTGGCAGACATCTGGTCACAGAAATTCTACCACACGAACCTGGGAAAATGGAGTTGTAGGTTTTATAATGTTTTCAATAGGGTGCACAAATAAATGTCCAGTTTCTTATGGGAAGGAGTATGTTCCTTTGCAGAAAGTAACAGGCTAAGTAATCTGTGTTTATATAAAAATGCAAGTACAGGAGCCAAGAAGAGCCACTTGGGTCAGTCACACACACTATGCCTGTACAATAGAGGGGGGAGGGATCATCAAAGCAAATTCTTAAAGAGGACATAAACTCACACATTCCCTACTTACTTTTCTGTGTTTTACTAGTAAACTTCCATCAGGCCCAAACACAGGACAGGTGTTATATAATTTTCCAGCATCTTCCTCAGGGATGGAGCCTTTCATTAAAAAAGAAACAAGTATACAAAAGTCTTAATAAAAAAGAATGGAGCAATTATTTTGTGATAACTGAATAAAGGACGGAGGCATACATATCATTTACATCATCAGAATAAACTGTGCACTGGGTCTAATAAAATTTATCCTTTCAAGTTTTACTTAAGCACTTACTCTTGAATATGATCTTTCAAATATTAACTTCAAAGTGCAGATGAAATACAAGTAGTCAGATGCCAAAGACAGGTTTAAAAAATAACCAAATTGTTCCTGAAATTCAGACAACATCTTGAGCAACACTTAATATGTAACATTAAGGAAAAGTAATTTCTTGTTGCTGAAGTTAAATTTACCAGACTCTGCAACAAGACCATTCCAAAAGGTCTCAAGATGACACTTAAAGGGGCCGGCCAAATAGCTCAGTGGATTAAAGCACCTGCAAGCAGGCACAGGGGCCAGGGGTTCGATCCCCAGGCCTGCCATGCTGGCCCCACCCCCCAAGGCACGCTAAGACAGCAATTGAGACTGGGCATGGTGGCACGTGTCTGTAATCCCAGCTCTTGGGAGGCTGTAAATAGGCGGATCACTGAGTCCGATCTAGTAATGAGACCCTGAACACCCTGCAGACCCTTTCCTAAAATGCAAAAAAAAAAAAAAAAAAAAAAAAAAGATGACACTTAAGTCACAGGTTCTCCATTACTGAATACAGTTTAGCTATATGCTTTTTGCTTTTGTTATCTCTTATTCTTCTCTAATCCTTAGTATGTCATAATACAAAGATCAATTTTGTTTGCTGTACCTATTCAACAGTTTCAGTGTGGTGTGTTTTTCTTTCTTTCTTTTTTTGAGACAAGGTCCTGCTAAGTATTTCAGGCTGGCCTTGAACTTATCATGTAACTGAGTGCCCTAAAACTCATGGCAATTCTTCTGCTTCAGCCTCCCGAGTGCTGGGATAACAGGTGTGTAAAACCCCCCACATGCCAGTATGCTTATTTTTATTTTAGCAAATAGATGTGCTCCATTCAGCAGCACATATAAAATATTTTAGCAAGTAGAATATCTAAAATGTATTTTAAGAGTACAAAAATAAAGCTATCTTTATATATTTGGTTGCTATGAAAAAAATTTTCTCAATTCTACATTATGTAATAAAAGACACACAATTTCTCTTTCCCTATTTTTACTCAACTCTGTGTTCTACTCAACTCTATTTTTTCTCCAGAAAAAAAATCAGTATCATTTAGTATTATTCTGTAATACTTAATATGCCTTTGTATATATAACTACATATGAAAGTCATAGCCGGGGCCAGCTTCAGCAACACAATGCCTGCCTACCAAGCACAAGGTCCTGAGTTCAACTCTCAGTGTCAAAAAAAAAAGTCATAGTCATGTTTTTTGTGTGTGGGATTAATCTGAATGGCCATGCTCTGCTCATGAGCACAGTGAACTTTTTTTTTCCACCTAACAAGTGTGTCTTAAGCTTTTCCCACATTACTAGACAGGAATATACTTTCTCCCTTCAATGGCTGAATTGTGTTCCACTGTTTAAATGTAACATGCATTATTCAAATATTTTCCAAGTCAATAACGTTACATCACATGGAAGGAAGTTACCTCCAATGAGATATACGCCGCACTCTTTTGCTACTTCAGAAAGCTTCTGTGTGGATTCACCAGGAATTTTCTCTGCATATTCAGGAAAATATTTTGTGCCATATGGAGAATTAAAGCATTCCTAGAATAATAATAGCAGAGAAAAAGGGAAAAAAATATCAAAACATTTAGCCCATTTTAAAGTTCTGCTGAAATAAGACAGTTACTATTTTTAGTTCTACTTCCACAGGAACCAAAACACAGCAAAAGAAAACCCTAAAGCTCAAGCTCAAGAGCCCGTGACCAAAGGCAGAGCAAGCAACTTCCTCAGGTGGGCCTGGGGGCAGAAATTCATGTGAGCTCTACCACTCCTGCTCACCCTGGCAAATGCTAGACCTATATCTGCCTCATGCTTGCAGAAGGAGCTGCCAAGCTCAGGCACCCAAGCCACACTACAAATCAGGTTTACTCACATGAATTTGGGTAAACTCTCCACTTAAGTGCAAGAATGACACTGTTATCTACATAAATCTATGAAACTTGTCTACAAAAAATAAGAAAAGCTTTGAAAGCCATGAGGCTTAAGACATTTCTTCATTTATAAATAAGCTGTAGATGAAGCTTGTTCGAAGCTTGGAGATGAAGCCATTGATGAAGCTTTTTATATTACCTTTGGTACTATCATTCTTATCTTTTTCTTTTTTTGGGGGGGTAGGGGTTCTTTTTGAGACAGGATCCCGCTGTGTTCAGGTTGGCCTTGAGCTCACTCTGTGGCCCAGACTGGTCTCAATTGCAATGATTCTCCTGCCTCAGCCTCCCAAGTACTGGGATTTGGGTGTACACCACCACACCTGGCTTAGCACTATCATTCTAATCCTACAAGGTCTCTTATTCACTGGCAGTATAGCTGTGTTCAATAGCTCTCTGACATATTGCAAAACTATAAGAAAAGAATACTAGATTCCAACTCTTATTCATTCACTTTTTATTTAATGATATCATCTAGGTACTACACTGTGCTCAGAAACTCAAGGTCAAAGCTCACCAGCTTGTACAAGATACATCTGTGAGGTAAGCACATGCACAGTTCAAGTACTTTGTTTATTTATTTATTTTTGCAGAACGGGGGATTGAACTCAGGCCCTTGCTTGCACTTGCCAGGGAGGCGCTTATTCCACTGAGCTATCTCCCCGGCCCCAATTCAAGTACTTTTATTCCTAGGCTTTGTGCAACAAGGGACCATGATTAGGCCAATACAGGGGAGTCCCAGGACTAGCACCATGACTGGATTAATGGTGGGATCTTCAGTTCCCTTGTTAAAGATTCCTATTCACTGGCCACATTTGTAGCAGGCTTAAGTTTCATGGCCACCTAATTAAAACAAAAAGTGGCTCTGAAAATTCTCCAGTCAATCTAAACAAGATCAGCAGACAACTGCTAACCCTGCCTCTTCATAGCTGGACACAAGACAGCATTATCTGTAATAGTCCCAAATGCTGACACCCAAAAGGCTTTTGAAAAAGATGGGAGAAAATACATGTCCTGACATCTGGGGAGTCCTCTCTGCAGCTAAATCTGAGCTTTCTGAAAAACAACAACAGAAAGGTGGGGCAACCTTCAACTGGTTTCACTGCTCAAGAAACAATCTACAAAAGAGATGCTCACTTTGAGAAGCTACAAGCTTCCTAAATGTCTGTATATACTTTGAGAAGCCACTAGCTTCCTAAATGTCTATACACAATTTTTTTCATTAAAAAAAAATAAAATGTTGGAGGTTTAGTGTTAAAAGTTAGCATGTTCTCATCCTTCAAAGACTTAATTAGATAAAGTACAAAGTTAAGTATTCAAGCAGATCATTTTATCTGAGGTAAATTCCTCAATATACAAGCATTCTTGATCTACACCTAATTAACTTAAAAACTTGCAACCATGTTCATACATCCTGTGACAAAGAACCTGCGAAGGTCTCTTGTGATAGACAAAGATAAGACAAACATGGCACAATCCTAGAGCTCCAAAACACACTCTGGGCCTGGAACACAAGACACCCAGAAGTACCGTAATTCTATGGGACCTGGAAAGGGCTGAGTACTGTACTTACAGGCAGAGAAATTATTTTGGCTCCTTGCTTTGCTGCCTCCCGAACAAAGCCACAAGCTCGAGCAACATTATCTGATTTGATGGAAGAAACCTGAAGCTGGATGAGGGCCAAGCGGAAAGCTAAGGACAAACACAAATAGTTGTTAGATCTGCCCATTGAATTTAGATGGAAACGTGGTCTCCAACAGACTGCATCTGTCCATATATGGAGACTGTATAACTGCTGCAACTACCAACAGTCTAATGCACAGATTAGATGATCTATGCTAAGAAAACATGGGCTCTTAAAAGGCTCTGGCTCAGGGTTAAACCAGTGAAGTATGAAAATGTAAATGGCTCATTTCTTAGTTTTTCTAAATATAGGGAGAAAGCTAATTGTAGCTCTTTTTCTGAAGGTAGCTGTCTGTTTTGTATTTAGAACTGAACCTAATGCCTTTATATAGCGAAAATCCCAACTTTTTTTTTTTTTTTTCTATTTTGAGACAGGGTATTACAAAGTTGCTAAATTGCCAGGCTGGACCTTATAACCCGCCTGCCAAGCTTTGCAGAGCGCTGCAGGTAAACAGGAAGCAAAAGCTGACGTTACCTTGGGACAAAAGGATACTTTGAGCTGGCACAAGCCCATCAATGCTCTTCACTGCCCTTGAGATACTGGACTTTCTGCTTCTGAAGAAGATACACACACCACGGTCATGCTGGTGGTTTCCCTTCATCCCAACCAGCTTTGGAACTTGCGGACATTCTGCACATTACCCACTCTCTGCACAGTGCTGCAAGAGGGCAATCCCACCATTAAGGCGAACACGGGAGGACGAGATACTAGTCACTTCATCTCATCTGGAAAGGTTGGACTGAATGGATTTTGCCAACCTTGGCTGCCCTAATACTTATTAAACCCTCACAGTGAAATGATATGGAGAAAAAAAAAAGAAAATATCTTCAGGGACGGGACCAGCGTGGGGCACATTTAAATATGTCAGTTCCAACACATATGCATTTATAGACGAGGAAAGTTGGCGGGGGGAGGGGGAAGCGGTTGCATAAAACTTCTAAGCAAATATTAGAGCGACCGTCACGCCCAAACCCCGAAACCTGAAAACCTCACACACACTGCCCGCGACACCCCCACACTCCACCAGCAGATCCGCTGCTGTGCGGCCTGGCGCGCTCGCCGCGTCCCGGTCGCCAGGGAACTCGAGACCCCGGAGCGCGCCGGGCTGCCCGCCACCACCTCAGCCACACACCCAGAGGCCGTGGCCAGAGGGGTCAGGGGCGCCGATCCGCCGGCGCCGCACCGAAGCGTCCCCTCGGCCGCGCACAGCCAGCCAGCCGGCCCCGCCACTTACAAGCCATGGTCTCCCGGGAGGACAATCCGAAGCCGGAGCACGCAGGGGCGCGGCCAAGACGCCGCGGCGCGAGGGGCGGAGCTCGGGGGCGGGGGCGGGGCCTCGACAACAGCCAAGCAAAGGGCGGGGCCCGGAGAGCTGTGGGCGGGGCCGCTGTGCTGGCTCAGGACGCTGGGAGTTGGCTGTGCCTTCTTGCCTACGCAGTTTTGTTTTGGCGGTGACTGTTTTTGCAGAGCTCGGGATGGATCCCAGGGCCTGCCTTGCATATCCTAAGCACGCGCTCTACTACTGAGTTACGTGTCTGCCTCAAACACCCATTAAGGACCGGTAAAGGGTTAGTTGCAATGCAGCTCGAAAAGAAAATTGCCTGCCGAGAAAGGAGTAAAGGGGCCTGCCCAAGTCGTGGCTTTGTGTTGGTAAATGTTTAAAGCAGCCACCCAGGGGTAGAAAAGTCCTCATGCCTAGGGTGGCCGATTCTTGACCTGTTAGGTGGATCACCTCTCTGGCCAGTGTAACCCTGTATGTTGATTGGCTATAGCCCTGTGAACAAAATCTCTGTGGCTTAATTTAGGCATGGTGGAAGTCGGCATGATCTATATAAAGGGAAAAGATAAAAGTTCAAATACAATATTCTTAACAAATCACCCAGATATACTGATACTTGCTAGTGTTCTATTTTTGGGTGCTTTAATGTCCCAAAACAATACAAGCCCAGTTATCTGAAACTAAGTTTATCATCTCCAAAAGAGCCTTCCTCACAGCCGTTTTGCTCATGCTCACCACCATTTATGCCTGGTTTTCCAATTTTCCCTAATCCCCAACCCTCCAAAAAAGGAAAATCTAGATACTCCTGTCTTTCAAATCTTATCTCCCACCTATGGTTAGGGATAGGGCCCTTTTCACTCTACCATGAAACATCCCTATATCCCTCTTCTATTTTTCATCACACCATCCATCCACACCTTCCTCATCCTGGGAAGACCTACAAGCCCCTCTGTCAGCATTCCTCTAATCATTCCTTCACAGAATTAGGTAAACTTGGACGGAGAGATGGCTCAATAGAATAAGCGCTTCCCTGGCAAGTGTAAGATCCTGAGTTCAATCCCTGGTACCACAAATAAATAAAAATTTAAAAAAAAAAAAGAATTAGGTAAACTTGGGGAATATGAGTTCTGCTTCAGGAGGGAGGGGGATATGCAAATAAGGGAGCTGAAAATAAGAAATAATTGCAGTCCTTTGCACAGAATAAGCACAGAAACTGAGATGAAAAATCCAAGAGAAAATATACTACTGAAAGCAAAAGACTAAACTTGGAAATGATAATATTGGGTTAGAGCTTTTTATACGGAGAAAAGAGCCTACATGTGTAGGTCTCCTTAAATATACACATACCTGCATATAGTTGTATTGAAATTTCTGGTACAATCCATTAAAACAATGAGTTGTGAACTCTGCTAACAGATGGTGACTTTGGACAAGTTACTTAGTGTATAACAAGACCACTGAACACTCCCACTAGACAGGTACCTCTAAAGTGAAAGTATCAATTAGAGAAAAATGGTGCACTGCAGGTCACTAGCTCTGAACTACAGTTCTCAAGACAACACAGGGCAGAGTGATTAGTATAGCAGCTATGACAATGAACTCTGGAAGTAGTAGAACTACTACTCACAACCTGCATGCTTTTGTTAAGTGTGCATCCATAGACTAGAGATACAGCGTAGGGTTGTTTTGATGACAATACAATAATGCAAACACTTAAATTGAGGCTGGGAATATAGGTAGTGGCAGAGTACATGCTTACCTTACATGCTCAAGGTCTTCGGTTTGGTTCCCACCACCTCCACAGAAAAAGTATATATAATCATCTGACATGGAGTGTTAAATGTTACTTAGAAGGCAAATATCCAAATTATGGAAAAGTTTCTTTTCTTCTTTTTGGCAGAACTGGGGATTGAATTCAGGCCCTTGCACTTATCAGGCAAGCACTTAGTCTATTGAGCCATCTCCCTAGCACCAGAAAAGTTTCATTTTTAAATGCTGCCACTGCAAACTGTAAAACTTGCATGGTCACAGAAAATGTCATTGTCAGCTCTAAGTCGCCAGGTGACAATCTCTATTGTTCTTATCATTCTGTTCAACAAATAAAGATCGAGCTCCACTCCATGTCAGGCACTGCTATAAGCACTGAGGATGCAGCAGAAATACCTTGTATTCATTTAAATATATATATATATATATAGATATCTATATATATACATATATATAGATATATATAGTATGATTTTTTTAACTGTTCTGCCTCCACAAATTAGTTGAAAGGATCAAATTGAAAATGTAAAAACACCTCCTGTGAGAAACTAACAGGGTAAATAAAAGACCAAATTGGATGGTAGATATTGGGAAAAAGGAAGAGAAGGTTCAAATGGGAAGCTGAACAAGGTAGGGAAGCAGGGGAGGGAAGGCAAAATGGAAAAACAGAAAAAGGAAAAATCTTTCGTAAATGGGAAGAAAGGTTGGAGGGAGGGAAGGGGAATGGGGAATGAAAGAATCAAGATATACTCTGCTCAGATACAAATTCCCTATGACTGTGATCACTATGTAGGTCAAAAGTGTGCCAATAACATTAAAAAAAAAAAAAAATCCTAAACCAGACATGGTGGTACATGCTTGTAATTCCAACACTACACAGTAAGTTTAAGGTCAGTTGGAATTACTTACTTAGACCTGAAAATAAAATTAGTGAATGCATTTAATGTCATGAATCAAATTGCACACTTTAGGGGCTGGTGAGATGGCTCAGTGGTCTAAAGCACCTACTTAGAACAAGCTTAGCAAAGCACAGGGAAAGCGGTTCAATCCCCCAGCACCACACACCAGCCAGCCCCGCCCCCTGGTGGGCTGAGCTGGCCACACACACACACACACTAAATAAATAAATAAACTTAAAAAAAAAATTGCACACTTTAAAATTATTGAAATATGAGCTGGCCACATAGCTCAGCAGATTAAAGCGCCTGCTTAGGCAGACGCAGAGTCTAGGGGTGTGCTGAAAGCGAATGACACTGGGCGTGGTGGCACAAGCATGTAATCCTAGCACTTGGGAGGCTGAAAACAGGAGGATCACTACGAGTCCGATCTGTGTAGCAAGACCCTGTAAGCCCTGTAGTAAACACATTAAAAATAAAAAAAATATTAAAAAATAAATTAAATTGGGACTGGGGAGATGGTCCTGAGTTTAATTCCCAGTACCAAAAAAGAAAACTGAAGCAATTATGGTGTACATAACTTTAACCCTAGCACTCTGACAGGCTGAGGCAGAAGGATTACAACCCTGTTTCAAAACTTTTTAAAAACAAAATCCTAATACATCTATATACAAAAATCAATTATACTTTGTGTGAATACTGGTGTTATAGCTCAGATCTAAAATGCCCCCAAGTCTGTTAAGAGGGGGGTCCTGAAGGGAGGCCATGAGGCCATGGAAGTGTGTCCAGGTGGAGTACATCCTTCTTGCTCTCTGCTGACTGCCAGCTTCTCTTTTGCTCTGCCTTTCCACCTTGCTGTATCTGACCTGGAGCCTACAACCAGGGACTGAATCCTTTGACAACTGTGGGCCAAAATAATCCTCTCCTACTTTACACTGCAGGTGTCAGGTATTTTGTTCCAGGAAAGTGCCTGACAGTTGGTACCAAAAGTGACATCATGGCTGAGACTCTTCCTGATCATGTCATTCAAAAGCCTTTGGAACTGGGTTGTGGAGTTTTAAAAAGTTTGGATATACAGGATAGAGAAAAAGCTCTAAAATGCTGTAAACAGAATTTTGGCCAGAGTGGTGATGGGGAATTCCAGCCAGAATGGCGATAAGAATGTGCAGAGTAGAGGCCAGGCTTACGAGATTCCAGTAGAATAAGGACTCAACTGGTCACTGGATTATAGGCCATGCATATTAGGTTCTGGCAAAGAATTTACCTACATTTTGCCTTTGTCCTCAGACTTCCTGTGAGGCTGAATTTTAAAGGTGGCAGACATGGAGGAAATTTCAAGGCAGCCTAATATTTAGACTGTGGCATGGGATATGGCTGATTTCTGCCATGTTAACGAGGAGATCAAGAGCGAAGGCAGACTCAAATGATGTGAGGCTTGGCCAGAAAGGAAGTGCCTGGAAAGCTGGGGCCAAGTAGATTGTGGCTGTTGAAAAAATTAGCACTAGGGGCCGGGGAGATGGCTGAGTAGAATAAGTGCTTCCCTGGCAAGTGCAAAGGCCTGAGTTCAATCCCCAGTTCCACCAAAAAAAAAAAAAAAAAAAAAAAAAAAAAAAATGATTGTGCAACATCAGTATAAATTTGGGTGAGCAAGTGGAGTTATTCTCTAAAGATAGTTAATACTACACCTTAATGAGCAATTGTAATTTCCAAAGTGTACTGAGTAAAGAGGAAACACTTCTCTTTTTTCTCAATTTAACCAATCTTCTAACTTTCGTGTTATTTCAGATGAGGAAAAATGAAGTTCATAGAAGCTAAGTAATTAAAGGTAATAATTTACCCCATGTACACTTTAATATCATTTGAGCTTTTTTAAAAAAGAAGTATCTAGGTTGCCCAGGCTGGCCTCCAACCACTGGGCTCAAGCAATCCCCTGCCTCAGTCACCTAAGTAATACAAGTGTTGTTGGATTATGGGTATGCATGACTTTGTCCAGCTTGTACCATTAATTTTTAGTTTTAAGCTATCTCTTTTCCTCATTTTGTAATGAACAGAAACAGGAATCTCATAGAAATATGAAATCTAATCATTTCAACCTGAAAAATAAAAGTACCTTTTTTAAGCTTTGTAGCATCTAGACATTTACAAAAGGGGAGAAAGAAAAAAGACACTGACTTTAAGAATATTTAGAGCAAACTGTACCAGTTTATTTACAATTTTAATACATATAAACAGTAACACAAACATCTTTACATTAATATTATGAAAAGTCCCATGGCTGAAATGGGCAAAAAATGAGACTTCAAAACATTTCTAAAGGGAATGCCAAGAAAAAGGGAAAATTGCAATACAACAGTTTTGGGGAAGAGTTATAAATATCAAGTATTGCACTAGGTGCACTTTCATGCAAATGTCTTCAACCACTCAAACTGCTTTAATAGTAGAAGAAAATTTCTTAAACTATGCTCCTTTTATTCACTTGATTTCCATTAAGTAAATTAAAGTAACTGGCTATTAACAGGGTACACGTAGGTATTTCTATCTACCTTTCAGAGATAACCTGTTGCATTTTAGGACATGAAGATCATATTTGCTATCTTCCAAAAAGATACTTAAAATATCATAGGCCTGTGAAGTGTTGTTGGATCTCTTACTAGTTAATATGGGCCACAGTAAATTAAACTTAGAAATCTGTAAAATAAAGCAGATCA